AGAAATCATTACTAATATCTGATTTATATTCAATAAATTGATAAATGATTTTGTTAGTATTATTTTAGTTTCGATATATAAATTTGATAGATAAACTCTTTGCTTTCAAATTTTTGCAAGGGAATTTGATAAATACTCACTTCATTTTGAAGAATTTCCTCTTTTTCAATTTTCTCATGACAAACGCGTGCTATATCACGATAATGATCCATTGCTTCACCAATTTGTTTTTTTACAACCTTTAATAATTACCGTAATGAAATATGCTAGCATTAATAAAATTACAACGAGCACTGTTAAAGCTTGAAATTTTCAAATTTAACTTTTCTTCTTGCATCATTTATTTGCTAAAAAAATTGCAAATGTGGTTATAACTGGTCGAAAGATTAAATTAGTTATGCTAAATGACAAAATACTGATTACATCAATTTTAGCAAGGATTTGATTTTTGGTCGTAAAAAGTTGCTGTTCACGCTTGTTTACTTTTTCATTCTCATCTATTAATATTTTTAAACGTCTGTAACAAAATTAACAACTTAGAAAAGTTGAAATGAAAAAAAAACCGGCAAAATTCGTTCAGTTAAATTTCCATTTCTTGTTTTTATCTTTGGTGCAACTGAAGAATGTTGAATGAAATCATAAGATGTAATCAATATCTACCATTTAATTTAAACGATTTTCATAAATGATCGATTAAGCAATTGTTTAATAATCGATCAACTAATGATAATGACCGATCAAGTAATTGCTTTTGTTTTCCATTCGCCCTTGTTAACTATGGACAAGTAATTTAACTGTATCAAAGATTAATTAATTAAATTTCAGGATAAATTGACCATGATACGATTTACTTATCAACGATTGATGAACATCCTCATATTACTCAATTTAAGAAAAAATAAACATGCAGGTTTTGCTTTAAAAATCGAAACTTAAAAAATTTGGATATGTTATTTATTGATTTAATGATGTAAGTTGTTGTCCGATCGCTCCATCACTCAACTTTTTCACTTCTATTTTTTCGGGTAATTCAACTTTCATGGCTGAAATAAAGCAGGATATAATTATAATTAACTATGTTGGAAAATATTCAATTTTAAGGTTTAATTTAGATTTAACGATAATATTAACAGCAATATTACATAAAAATTATTGATTCGAAAACTGTTACTATTACAAATGAATTCTTCAGTATTTGATTCCAATTCAAATTCATTCCGCACTTAAAAACTCTTCCATGACAATTTTTTCTTTTCATTCATATTTATTACTTTCGTTTACCATACTCTTTCGAAACGTTTGATTTAAAGTTATTGTCAGAAGTTAGATAAAACAATTAGCAACCTTTAATATCGTCAGTATTCATCAGAAGTGATTGAGATGCTCGAAGTCGTTGTAATTGATTTGTCTTTTCTGGTGGCAATTTTTGAACATTCAGAAGTGCTGTAATTAATTTATAATTCCATCAGTTACTCTCACATTATAACAAATTTGCATAGGAAATTTGAAATATTTTTTATATATATTGGATTTCATTCTTTATTCCATGTTATGAATTTCGACCAATGATAAAAATTAAAACGTCAAAAATGTCTGTGTGCATTTATGAATATAAAATAAGCACGATAATAATATTAACAAATATATACATGAAATGATAACAGATAATATTAGTGATTACATTTCCCACGAGTGATATCAGTGCTTTTTCCTGTTAACTCGTCGTTTCTTCTATATTACCGGACACATCGGTATTGCAGACCATTTCTGCATTTCGTGAAATCTCCATATCTCGTGATAAATCATTCATACGAAATGGATCTACCACACTCGGTACATCCGGGTGTCGCGAAACGTCACCAATTGTGCTATATGATGTATTTGGCATTTGGATGTCTGTCGTACTATTATGCATTATCTCAGAGTTCTGGGAATGATTCATATTTTTTGGAGTAACTATGTTACGAGAAAGGTCAGCATTACGTACCGATTCACTGTTACTGGAAACGTTAATAACACGCAATTCGATGGGTTCAACGCTACGGCTGATAATTGTTTCACGTGATGGTTCTACAATACGGTTAATAATTGTTTCGCGTGATGGTCCGATGTTACGGCCAATAATTGTTTCACGTGATGGTTCAACGTTACAAATAGATTCGACGGAATGGGCAATTATACTACGAGATGTGTCGGTAGTGCGTGATGCATCAGTTGTCCCGTTTGGGACATCTGCCTTTCGAATGACTGGTGAAACAGTATCCACTGCCGCGGATTTATTTTTCTTGCCTAATTCATGGAAATGATCTTTCAATCTTTTAATTGCTTGAATTGGTTTGTTCACACGCTATAAACACTTTTATGTATTTTTCTATATATGTTTTTTAAGTTTTAAATTTTATTTTTCTTTCGGTTAGTTGGAAAATTTTTCTGCAAAGATTTCAATTTCAAACAATAAAAAATTGAAAATTCCGCATAGATGATAGGAAGATATCAAAAAAAAGAAGAATCTCAGGATGGTCTCTTTTAGGATTATTTATGCTTCGTGCTTAGTTTTATTTGTTTATATAAAAAGTTAAAAAACTATAAAATCAATTATTTTAGGAAAAACTAGAATAATATATAAAGAATAATTATCGTAAAAAGTGCAGTATAAAATCAAAACATCAATAGTATGCCAAATATCGCAGATTTGCTCGGGGTTAGCTTATTGATCTCAACAAAAGATT